TTTTGCATTACATGGATTTCAAAATTAGGGACGGACGGAGGGATTTTTTTTTTTTTGGATTTTTTTTTTTTAATTCAATTTACTGCAAATAGAATAACGATCACATTTAAAGTCATATTTGATAACAAGGAATCGAAAAATTGGGCCAGCAGTCATATTTTTCCTGTCAGTCCTATCGGATAATTACGGGAAATTAAGGTCTCCATCGGGGGATACCGGATGAAAATAGCGGTAAAAAATAGATGTCAAAAATCGAACAATTGGCATAATTGGGATCTGAAAAAAAAAAAAAAATTTCGAAAAATTGAAAAAATGGGACGGCGGGTAATGCAAAACGAAAAATCAACTTTGCGTGGCCTAATAAAAATAAAACAAGTCTGGCAAATTTATTGGCTGGATTAGGAAATTTTAAACAGCCAAGATTTATTAGTAATTATCGCAACTGCAACGAGAATTATAATCAACAAATTAAAGTAAAAATTTGTTATTTTTATTTAAAGTTTTAATTTAGGTTATAACGATTATTATAAGAACGAATCAGATGAAATTATTGAAACGGTGATCTAACAACTAAGGAGCCTTTAGCTTGTTCGTCTATAGTAAAAATTTTAACTCGTCTAAAGTAACTATAGGTGAATCTGATATATCCTACTTATCTGAAGTAACAGCAAACAAATTTATATAGCATCCAACTTATCTGAAGCAATAACGAATATACTTTTAAAATGACAAAATCATAAACTTATCGAATCGGCCAAACAATCATTCGGTCAATTTTTTTTACTAGATGTCCAAAAATTTATGAAAACAGCTGTAATATTCGGATAATTATCTGTCGGATTATCCGGATATCTTAATTCAGATATGGATAAACGTATGACGGATTTATCCGGATTGGAACTCTATATTTAGTAAACTGTCGCTTGGCAAAATGTCAGCGAAATGATGATTGGTGAAAATAATAAGCTTTGTGCGTACGTACAGTTAGTACTTGCATTAGGTAGCTGTGCAATGTAGTTGCATTAAAACCAGGAACAGGTTAAATTTGATGTCAAGATCTTATGAAAAAATATTAAAATATTTATGACGTCTTCTGTAACCTGTGTAGTAATTGCGTTAATAGGAATTTAAAAGCTAAACTTTGGACAGAGAATTGAGTCAGAAATTTGAGTTGCAGTCAATAAAATAGCATGAATATTGTTAGAAAAAGGTCGAACTATCAGGAAGTTTTAGAGAAGTGATGGCATAGGCAATTTTTAGTTTGTCATAAATCATGTAGTATAGATTGAATATGAAGTCTCTTTCGGCATAACGCAAACCACAGCTAGCATATCTTTTAAAACAAGCATAATCAATATGCACAGCTTTGTACAACCCGCTCCGATATGAACTAGTATATGTTGGTGAAAGCAATCGGATGACTTGAAATTGATTATTACACACAAAAAAAATTCGTGGCTGTGACAATAACGATACTGTAATTGGCAAATCTCATGCGATACGCACTATCGACTATGTGAAAATCTGGTGCTGTTCAATAGAAAAGGGGGAAATCTCCATTTAAAGCTCAAGTTTCTGATGTTGAATTAAATTAGTAACGAAATCAGTGATCTATAAGTCATATTTATTTTTAGAAAATCACGTTTTTGTAGATCATAACAATTACCCGATGACAAATAATGTAGCTCAATTTTCTAAATAACATTTATATATGCCATATAATATAAACAATTGTGTAATGCACGTGATTTATATTTTTTCACAATGTAAAAAATTGTGTCAAACCGATACTAATGGTAAAGATCATATATAAAACTCCAAAAATTATTAAGCCAACTTTTATATTATTTAATGAGCCAATAAAAATTTTTTAACCAAAAAATAGATCACCTCGAACAGCGCTCATATGACGAATATTATCAAGCTGACCAATCGGAAAATAGATTTTGGGTAAGCTCAAACCAGATTTTCATCACTATGGCATACACTTTGTTTCACTCCGTTCCTGGTATTACCCGAACGTGAACACATTAAACAAAACCTTACATTATAAATTCATATAATTGCTAGAGATGGTAAAATGCAAAAAAAAGAGTTTATGGTACAAATGTAGATAGATATGAGCGACGCCAAGGAGACTTTAATCATATAAAACTTATATGAATGAGAGCACATTTCCCTTAGCATCGCTCATAAAATACTTACATAGTAAAATATTATTAATAACCAATTCGATCGTTGAGAAATTATTTTCAAGACTAACTAATTTGGTAATTAGAGAAGTTTCATTGAAAACAAAGTTTACCATTTTTAATGTCAAGTAATAATTTATACTGTATAAGGGATGCTATCGGCTTGATCCGGCTATTTTTAATTATTATTAAAACCCGAAAACCCGATAAAGTTTTGTTCTTTTTAGGCTGTGCATAAAGATACGTAACGTTGCATTTACTATTCGGTCTCTATTGCCAAAAATAGGAACGGGGGTTAATGTTAACAAATTCATACAAGTTATTATGTATCAAGAATATACGAAATCATGCAATAAGCAGATCAATATTTTAATTTCCCGAAGCAACGTAATATGAAAAGTTTCCGAATCAAAATTTATTTAAAAAAGAAATGATCTGAAGTGTTCTTTTATTTATTCGAATTACATCTAAATCGGAATGTTTTAAAAATAAGCTTATATTACGAAAAAAAAAGGATTTTTTGTATAACATATTTGTTGGAGTCTATACTAAGATGGTTAGCAAACAATATTCGAATAATTATTTGATTTGTTAGCCAATGACCTGTCGTGAACCAAGAAAGGAAATAAAGGAAATGTAATTTTTTAATTAGCTCATTTTCGATTGTGAAAAATATTGTGAAGAAATTGAATATGAATGTTTATAGATATTAGAAAATCAAATAACAAGCAGGTGTCGTCACTAACAAAATTTTTATATGACAAGAAAGAGTAGCTACCTCAGAACTTCTATAACTTTTATATTTCTGGACCAATAGTTAAATCAAACTTGAAACAATAAATAATTAAGGATAACAAGGATAGAATTTTACATATAAAAATTATGAAAGTTATGAGAATTAATTAATGGCTTCAACATTTTAATATGTACTACGTACATACGTACAGTACATCTATTTCTACGAATTATATATGCATAAATTAATTATTTTGACGATCTTAAATGGGATTTCAATAAGGAAATCAACCCGAAATTTGAACCAAATTTCGGCATTATTTAATAAGAGTATACATTTTCCATATATACGTATTTGTAAATTTACATATTTATTATAGTATCTCACATAATTACTTGTATTTACGCTTTTTTAGAAAGGACAAAATCAAATCTTTTTAGAGAAAACAAAGATTAATATGGAAGTTTATAAGTATAAAATTATCATATCCTTTTTTTTTTCATAAACTATATAAAGGTCAACTCTGTTTATCTAATATTCTTCGTTTGAGTCAAATTTTCTCTCAATTTCTCTCAATCTCTCCTCTCAAATTTTGTCAAAAATGAAACATTTTACGTACCTTTTCATCATTTTCATTCTCATTACCATCTTAGCTTCTTATTCATCAGCAGTACCCCGTAAACATAAGAAACCTAAGCATCATCATAAGAGAAATAATGATAATAATGATATATGTCAAATTAGAAAGGAAAATGCTGATCAAGCCGATGCTGAAAATGAAAAATTTAGTTCACTTACCCCAGATTCCCCTTGTAAAATTGGTCAAAATGCTTGTGTAAATGGAGAGTTTGCACAATGTCCCAATGGTAAATTCGTTCTCTTTCCCTGTGCTGCTACAGAACAGTGTTTCTCTCTTCCACTTGTACTCAGCAGGGGTACCTCCCTTACTTGTGATACCCCAGCAGATAAGGACGCCCGTCTCGAACAAGCTAGGAATTGTTCATAAATTTCAGGTATATAATTAAAATTTAAAAATTGTATTCCTTTTTTTTATTTTACTAATATACTAAATCGAATGTTATTTTATTCTTTATTACTGTATTATGATAAGTAACTTATTATGTATGTTTACTGATACTTATGATAAGTATCTTATTATGTATGTTTACTGATACTGTAAAAAAAAAGGTTATTTTGTTTCTATTAATTATACAGAGTGTATAACTTAAAATTTAACATAGAAAAATATGTTATATTATATCAAAATTTTTTAAATAAAAAATATCAAAAATATAATTTTTAAAATAAAAAATATCAAAAATATAATTTTTAAAATAAAAAATATCAAAAATATAATTTTTAAAAGTTAAATTCTCAAATGGCCATGTTTTTTTTTGTAATACATGTAAATGAACAAATCCAACTAAATACTTTAGTCACATCAAATAAATTTATTTACGAACAGTACGTTATATATGTACGTACTTACGTACTTATATTGAATAATATGACCAGCTTCATTTGTTATTGTATTTTGAGACATCTAAGCTAAAGTGTAAGTAAAGATAAGGCACGATTAAAAATGCTTAAAAATGGTATTGCATAAAACTTTTCAGTATGTAGCATAGTAAGCCTATACTAAGGTGATTCAAAATTAATGTTAAGATTTCTGATTTTGAATTAAATTTTTTTTGAAATAAGTAATTTATAAATACTAATATATATATTTATATATGACGATAATATATCATCAGAAAAATATATCTATTTCGTTTTCTGCTTTCAGAATTCTTAACAGAAATGGGATTTTTAAACTCTCGCTTAATTTCGAAATAAGCTAATTTTATCAAAGCAAATTTGTAAATCGTTTAGAGGATAATGTGTATTTAATCTACTTATCCTAAACTCATAACGTTTACTATTCAATATAATGGCTCTTGATTCACTTTACTTAATTTGGCTAATATAGTTTGTAACTATTAAACAATTTAATAGTCTACGTATTTAAAGTCAAGACTGGAGCTGATATACGTATGTGACCATTTAAGATCACAACCTCGTGTTCATGTGACAATTTGAAATCATGCCCGTTTTAAACACGTCCCAATATTCTCTAAATTTTATATTTAATGTCGCGGATGATCGTGAAATTGGATGATTCTGAAATTCACGTGATCACATGATGATCTCCGCTATTATATAGTA